CGGAAGGCTCGCCGGAGCCCAGCGGGTCGAGGCTGCGGTGGCCGGGAGCGGCCGCTGCACTCCAGTCTGGGCGACAGAGTGAGACTCTGGACTTGGTGGGATTACAGGCTGAGCCACCAAGTCCGGCTGTACTAGCGTCTTGTCTGATCATCTCACTCGAATGTGATCCATGGTTGCAAAAACTGATCAGTTCTTTCCACAGGGTCTTAATGCCAACCTGACAAACAGTAGGTGCTTGATAAATATGTCTCAGCTGACTCATGAGTGAACAATCAGAAGTCAAACAGCAGATAATTTTTTTTTTTTTTGAGTTGGAGTCTCACTCTGTCACCCAAACTGGAGTGCAGTGGCCTCTCCCGGCCACCGCAGCCTCGACCTGCTTGTCTCCAGCGATCCTTCCACCTCAGCCTTCCAAGTAGCCAGAATTACAGGCACACACTACCATGCCCGACTGATTTTTTGATTTATTGTAGAGATGAGGTCTCACTGCCCAGGTGGGTCTTGAACCCGCGGGCTCAGGCAATCCACTCACCTCAGCCTCCCAAAGCGCAGGATGACAGGCTGAGCCACCGAGCCTTGCGAGTTTACTTATTTGTAACATAGGGCTCCCCAAGGGTGGTGGTGGGGATTCCGGGAGACCCAGCTCTCTGGCACACTTAGTGGGGGGGCGCGGAGGAGTTAGAGAGGCCCTGGCCACGTGCAAGCCTCCCTGGGACAGTTAGGAACGCCTCACTCCCATTATCTTGTTTGGAATGTGTCCTGGGATAGAAATCAGGCTGGAAGTGCCAGGCTGCTGAGGCTGAATCTTGGTGGAGATAGCACCCGTCTCCTCCCTCCCCCTTCCCAGATCATGGGAGATCATGCCAGCTTGCATTTCAACAGCCAAGAAGAGCAAATGTGAGAACCCGCTCCAGGAACCAAAAGGACACGCGTTCACAGATTGGGAGGGCGCAGAGCGAGGCTGCTCCTGCTTAGGCCTCCAGCCCTCCAGGGATTCTCCCACCCCCTCCAACCCCCCCGCTGCAGGGTCCCATCCACCCTCAGCTGGAAACATTGCCCCCACCCACTGCAGAACAAGCTTGGAGAAAGGGAGGCTCCGTGGGTCTCAGGGCCTGGGAGCCCTCCCAGGGAGTCCGGACTCACCCTCCACACACATGCAGTCGTCGAAGCACTTGTTGTTGAGGCCTCGGTTGTGGGGTGCACAGAGATGCTCCCGCAGGTCACAGCAGGTCCCTGCACACGCAGCGAGCACGCAGTTAGCCGAGCCAGGTAGCCCCTCCTATGGCCCTGCGCTGGGTCCCCCCACTGGGAGATTCATTATTGACAATGTGGCAGGGAGGTGGGGAGCCAGCAGCTGGGAGATCCATTATTGACAATGTGGCAGGGAGGTGGGGAGCCAGCAGCGTGGGCCATCTGGAACCTCTGATGGATATCACGGTGCCCAGCCCCCACTGGCTGTTTGGCCATGGGACGGGCCACGGTGGTGTGGGGTCACCTCCTAGGGCCAAAGGGTGGAACAGCTGGGGCTGCCAGGCGTGTGTCAGCTCAGAGCTGGGAGGGGCCTGGGGCTCATCGCACCAATGTCCTCTTTTTTGACAGATGGGGAAACTGACGCCCCAGGCTGTCGCTGCAGGACTGTCAGGCCCAAGGCATGGGTTCACCCAAGAGTCAGCTCTCAGAGGGACGGGTCGGTTGGCCCAAACCTGAGCCTTGTCTTTGTACTCAGGGTGAAAACAGTGGCTTGAGGAGGAAGCAGCCTGTTGGGAGCTGGCGGCTGGGCTCGTGTGATGCCAGCTGCTGGCCTGGCTGCTGTTCTGTAGATATTCTGGCCCCTGTGGAGGCAGGCCCCTGGGATCCCGCTTCAGGAGAGCGCTCGCTGACGGACCCCGGCTCCAGCAGCTGCCTGGGCCACCCTGACCCGTGTCACACTGCTCCCCAGCAGCCCGGCTGATGACTGGCGTGGGGACTCCGGGCCCAGCCACTCTGCCCAGTGCCAGCCTCATCTAACAGGCTGTCTCCACCCCAAACCCCCCTGCATCGCCAGGACTTTGCATCACCGGCAGACACTTCCTCTGTCCAATCCTGCTTCCTCTCCTTGCAACTTCCACGGGTCGCACCCCCCCGACCCCGAAACAAACTTCCCACACTTCTAACTGATCTCAGCGTCCTTCCTGGAGGGCCCGAGAACCCGACAGGGTCAGCAGTTTAGGGTAGGAGTCAGAGCATCAGCCCCCTTGTTTCTATCTTTTCTTTAAAATTTAAAAAATTTTATAGGGACGAGGTTTCACTATGCTGTCCAGGCAGGTCTCGAACTCTTGGGCTTGAGCAATCCTCCTGCCTCAGCTCGGTCTCCTGAAGTGCTAGGATTGCAGGTGTGAGCCACTGTGCTCATCAAATATATATGAATATATATATATATATATATATATATTTTTTTTTTTTTTTTTTTTTTTGAGCTGGGGGTCTCACTCTGTCACCAGGCTGACGTACAGCAGTGGCACCATCATGGCTCACAGCAGCCTCGACCTCCTGGGCTCGGGCAATCCTTTCACCTCAACCTCCTGAGTAGCTGGGACTACAGGCACGCACCATACCAGCCAATTTTTTGAGTTTTTTGTAGAGACAAGGTCTTGCTATGTTGCCCAGGCTGGTCTCAAAGTCCTGGCCTCAAGCAGTCCTCCCACCTTGGCCTCCCTAAGTGCTGGGATCATAGGCGTGAGCCATTGCACCTGGTGACCCTTGTTTCTAGACTATGTTGATGGAGACAGTGGCCAAACAGTGAGGGTGTCATGAAACCCCAGAACATGCCACACTATCGTGATGGGATGAGGACAGAATTAAGTCCTGTCAGGAGGAAGAGGGCAAGACAGAGTCATCCTGCTTCAAGGTAGCGAAGGGCTGTGGTTAAATGACTTTGGAACCAGGTTGACCAGGTGTGGGCTACTTCCTGGCTGTGTGACCTTGGGCTAGGCACTTAGCCTCTCTGGGCTCAGTTGCTTTGCCTGAAAACTGAGGATGACAGTGTCTTTCTCTGGGTTGCTGTGAGTAGCGTAGTAAATGAATATATGACAGCAACTCTCAGGACATGGAGAGCTGCTGTTGCTGTATTAATTATTATCCGTAAAGGGTCATGGACACTCAGGGAACCCCCACCCCTACTGGGTTTCCGGCCAGCCCCTGGCCCAGAACCGGGAATGTGGTACTGGCTGGTACCTGGCAGGCAGTCCTGGTGATGGTCACATGGGTCGCCCTCGGCTGCTGAGGTCTCGTTCCCGTCGCTGGAGAGCTTGCCCCGGTGTTTCTCTGGGGGCGAGAAGACCAAAGCCGAGGTCCGGCAATGCAGAGATGGGACTCGGGCTACAGGGACTCGGGCTTCACAGAGCCCGTTCTGCCCCCCGCCCCGTGTGGCCTAGACACGGCACCATACCTCCCGCCCTCTGCCTCAGTTTCCTCTTCTCCAAAGTGGGATCAGCCATAGAGCAGACCTCACTGTTTCCCCAGGGTGAAGTGAGTTAAGACATGGATCGTGTTAGGCACGTGATGAGCCCTCGTGGCATTCTCCATTCCGAGTGTCAGCTCCCGCTGACACCTGATGCCCACCCTCCCCCTGCCCTGCCTTCCGACAGCCGAGGCTCAGCCCCTAGGAACAGATGGTGAGGGCGGGACGGGCGCCCAGGGGTGGGGGTGGGGAAACGGAGCGTACCCTTCTTCTTCATGGAGGGCCAGACGTCGGGTTTCAGGTCTTCGTAATCGGTCCAGTCAAACAGCGCCATGTCCAATGTGGGCATCACCTCCCCATCAGGCCTGGGCTGTCCCTGCAGGAGAGGAGGGAACCTGGAGCCTCCCAGCCAATGGAGGCAGGAGGCCAGAGGCCAAGGAGGGGCTCCTCCCAGCTACTGCATCCTCAGCTGGGCAGCCTGGAATCCGGCCCGGGACATTGGAATGGCGGCTGGAGGCAGCTTTGTTGCCATGTAGCCACATGCAGCCTTTGCGGAGGGGCAGAGCCCACCATTGGCTGGGAAGGCAATCTTGCTTGCTAGGGCCTCTAAGCCCAGGAGGAGGGAGCTGGAAGCAGCCTAGCTACTCACTCTCTGTCCCTTCTTCTCCCTGCAGAAGTGACCGGCGCTCCGCAGCATCGCTGAGGCCATGGCCAGGGCTCAGTCCCACTCTCAGCCCCAGTCCGTGGCCTCGGGAGCTTGGCGGGCTAGAGACCGTGGCTGGACTGCACGCGGTCCCCTGCGCACACGTGGGCAGGAACCACGCCTTCCAGTGCTGGGCTCCCACACAGTGGGCTTCAGGGGACCTTGGACGATACAGATAACCCTGTGTTCCCAGGGGGTGGTCCATGGTTTTCACCAGAATCTCAAGGGAGTGTGAGACCCAAAAGAGGGTAAAAAAGATCTACTACTGCGGGGTGAGGTGGCTCATGCCTATAATCCCAGCACTTTGGGAGGCCGAGGCGGGAGGATCTCTTGAGTCCAGGTGTTCGAGACTAGCTTGGGCAACATAGTGAAACCTTGTCTCTACAAAAGTCCAGAAAGCCCGGGCACAGTGACTCAAGTCTGTAATCCCAGCACTTTGGGAGGCCGAGGTGAGGGGACTGCCTGAGCCCACGGGTTAGAGAACAGCCTGGGCAACTTGGCAAGACCTCATCTCTACAGTAAATCAAAAGATTAGCTGGGCGTGGTAGCACGTGCCTGTAGTTTCAGCTACTTGGAAGGCTAAGGCGGAAGGATCGCCTGAACCCAGCAGGTTGACACTGGGGTGGCCGTGAGTGTGCCACTGCACTCCAGCCTAGGCGACAGAGTGAGACTCCAACTCAAAAAAAAGAGTAAGAATCAATATACAACTGCATTTATTCACACATTAACCGTGCGCCAGCTACCACATCCCCTTTTGGCGTCGCCAGCGCCAGCGTTTCAACCACACCTGCTCACGTTCTCTCTCCTTGTACAGCTTTGTTAAAGTTTTGAAGCAGGTGGGTCCAGGTATCAACTCATGCTGGCTGATTCTGGACCTTGAGTCGGAGGCTCACTCTGTCGCCCAGGCTGGAGGGCAGCGGCATGCTCACAGCCACCACAGCCTCGACCTGCTGGGCTCCGGCGATCCTTTCGTCTCAGCCTTCCAAGCAGCCAGAACTACAGGCGTGTGCCACCACGCCGGCTCCTGCCCCCTTGGCTGTGTCTCAGCGGCCCCAGGACTTCTCCTTCCTGGACAGCGACAGCCCCTTCTCAGGACGGAATGCCCACCGGGCCGGGGCCAGACTGGATGGGCATCGGGAGGTCTGGTTTCAGGCTGGGCCTCAGTCTCCCTAAGCGTAGTAAGAGGGTTTGTACGACATGGCCTCGAGGATCCTTTCCGCTCTGGGGCTGCTCAGGGGCCCTTACCTGAGGCCACAGGGAGGTGACGGGCAGGATCAGGGACTCTTCCGTGGCAGGTGCCGCCTCGAAGGTGGTGAGGAAGAGCATGGTGGGAGCCAGGCTGGTGGAGGACTCCTCCATGGCCGCGTCCAGCGCCTGGGCGTCCGAGAGCTCAGCCTTCTTCATCAGGGAGCTGGGGCCTCGGACCAAGGCTCGGCCTGGGACGGGGGCAGGAGGCACAGGGGCGTTATCTGCTGCCACCTCTCTTCTCCCACAGCAGGACCCACCTTTTCTGCTTCAAGTCAGGGGGCAGCAGGAGCCAGGTGACAAGCCTTGGTTCAGTCACCATCCCAGCATCCCAGCTGTCCACTCCTCCAGGGAGCTCAGGGGGAAACTGTCTTGGGTGAGCCTGAAGTGTTGCTGGGGAGATGGCCCCCAAATTCTCCCTGTAAAGCCACGTTCCAGCAAGCGCAAGCCTGGGTTGGCTGGATTCAGCCAAGGATGTGAGTGTGACAAAGGGAAACCTATAGGGATAAACCATGGAAGGCTTCCTGGAGGAGGCAAAGTTTGAGTAGGAGTCATGTGATGAGGCTGAGGGGCATTGCAGTGGGGAGCAGCCTTTGACCAAACTGCGAGGTTCTCAAAAAAAAAAAGAAAAGATAAAAGGCCAGGTGCGGTGGCTCACACCTGTGATCCCGGCACTTAGGGAAGAGGAGGTGAGGGTGAGAGGATTGTCTGAAACCAGGGGTTCGAGACTAGCCTGGGAAACATGTCCAGACCTCGTCTCTACAATAAATCAAAAAATCAGCTGGGCGTGGTGAGGCATACCTATAGTTCCAGCTACTTGGAAGGCTGAGGTGGAAGGATCGCCTGAGCCCAGCAGGTTGAGGCTGCGGTGGCCGTGAGTGTGCCACTGCGCTCCAGCCTGGGCCACAGAGTGAGACTCCGACTCAAAAAAAAAAAAACAACAACAAAAAAAGAGAAAGCTATGAGGTGGGAGCCCCAGCTTCTCTCACACAAGTGAGTGCTTCCTGTGTGGTGATAAAGAATCACCGTTTATTGAGCGCTTTGTGCTGGGTCCCAGACAAGTTCCTTTACAAGCATTATTTCATGTCACCGTTGCAAAAGCTCTGGGAAGCGAGTGCTCTTCTACCCTCATCTACAGGGGAGGAAACTGAAGCACAGAAAGGTTAGTACCTGCCTAAGGACACAGCTCTTGAGGAATAGAGCCAGGATTTGAACCCAGGTTTATCTGGCCTTTTTAACCCCTGGTACCACTGGGCTCGGTGGCTCAGCCTGTAATCCCGTGCTTTGGGAGGCTGAGGTGAGCGGATTGCCTGAGCCCGCGGGTTCGAGACCTGCCTGGGCAAATTGGCGAGACCTCATCTCTACAATAAGTCAAAAAATCAGCTGGGCGTGGTAGCGCATGCCTGTAATTCCAGCTACTGGGAAGGCTGAGGCGGAAGGATCACCAGAGCCCGGCAGGTCGATGCTGCGGTGGCCGGGAGCGGCCACTGCACTCCAGTCTGGGGACTTGGAGAGAGGTGGCGTGCGGGGCGGGCGTATCCTGGCCTCTTCTTCCCTGGTAACATCTGACGGTGAGGTCGGCTGGGGCCGCCCCACCCTGCGGAAATGAACCCCCCCAGCAGGACGGGACTTCCCGGGGCCCTGTGTCCACTCGGTTCATTTTGCAGGTGAGGAGACTGGGGTCCAGCCAGCCCGAGGCTTCCCAGCTGGTCAGCACAGGGCAGAGCCCACCTGCAGGCCCCCTTGGTCCCCCGCCCCACACCTGCGGCTGTCACAAGCCCAGCCAGTCCCTGCCTCGGGTGTGCCCTCCAGCCGGCCTCACGGATGCCAGCTCCCCCTCCCCAAGCCGGCCCAGATGACCCCCCAGGGAGAGAGGCTGAATGTTGAAGCTGGGCCCCCGCCCCCGGCAGGGTTCTGTCCGCTTGGGGGCTCTCGGCAGGCCTGTCGGGGAAGCCAGCCCCGCTGTCTGCAGGAGGGCTGAGGCTCCGTGGCCCCCTGCCAGAGGAACTCCCACTGCGGTGTCTGTGGCACTCGCCCGCCGCTGGGGACAGTCTTGTCACATGCAGAGACTCCAAGTCGCCTCCTGGGCTCCGGCCGGGTGGGCTGAGAGGAGCGAGCGCCCTGGACACTGTGCCCAGAAACGGATGGGCACCGGGAGCAGAGCTCGGGCATCCCAGGGGATGTGGAGGGCTGGGGGGAGGGGACACACGGGGCAGAGGCAGGAAGGGCAGGCTGTGACCCTCCCCCTGAGTCCCCTGCACGGCTGATTCAGCTTCGGCAGGGGCTGACAACCACTAGTGGCAAGTATCCATGGCCCAACGTCTCAGCCTTCCACAAATCCAGCCTCTGAGTCTACCTGAGGGTAGATGCGAGCATCATCCTCACTCTACAGAGGGAGAAACCGAGGCACAGGACAGGAACTTGCCCAGGGCCACACACTAGTAAGTGGTGGAGGGAGGGGCTGACCTCGGCAGATCGGGCTTCAGTCCACCCTCTCAGGCCTCCCCTGGAGGGCACTGAACTGTTCCGTCTCCGCTGAGGAATTACAGCAGGAGAGATTTAGGTCAGATATAAGGCAGGACTTCAGGAAGTCCTGAAGACAATATTGAAGACAATATCAGTAGACTGAGCTTTTGTTGCCACATATTCCTCTCCTCCTCCTACACCCACCCTGGGGCCTCCCTGTGCCCCTTGCCTAACCAGATCCCACTGACTTTAGTGAGAGCTCCTCTCCTTCCGGTGCTCACTGCCTGTCTCCTTTGGGGCCTCTGGATGTCCTCCCGGGGACCTCGTGCCCCCAACCCTTCCCTCCAGCGCCCCCCACCCTCCCCAGTACCC